GAGGATTTTGATGGCTTCCTGTCTTACATTGAGGTCTTTCATCCATTTTGAGTTTCTTTTTGTGGATGGTGTAAGAAAGTGGTCCAGGTTCATTCTTCTGCATGTCGCTGTCCAGTTTTCCCAGCACCACTTGCTGAAGAGACTGTCTTTATTCCATTGGATATTCTTTCCCGCTTTTTCAAAGATTAGTTGGCCATATGTTTGTGGGTCCATTTCTGGGTTCTGTATTCTGTTCCATTGATCTGAATGTCTGTTTTTGTACCATGCATTTTTGACACTATTCTCTTAGACTCAAAATCCTTATCTATAATGTGTTTACTTGTTATTCAATAGCATACATAAAATTGTTTTTACAGTCCTACCTTAACAATAATATACTCCCTAAGCAAAGTTGAAAGTTTTTGTGTCTGTTGCAGTTTTTATCCTTAGAATATATCCCAGTTAAGATATACAGTCAAAAAACTGTTTTAAATTTTTTTTTAATGTTTATTTTTGAAAGAGTGTAAGTGGGGGTGGGGCAGAGAGAGAGGGAGACACAGAATCTGAAGCAAACTCCAGGCTCTGGGCTGTTGGCGCAGTCTGACTCGGGGCTTGAACTCATGACCTGAGTCGAAGTTGGATGCCCAACCAACTGAGCCACCCAGGTGCCCTCAAAATACTGTTTTAAAAGTTATTTGACTTTCCTGTATGCCATATGCTCTGTGTGATAAACAGCTGTTTTTTGTTTGTTTGTTTGTTTGTTTTTCTCTGTTTGTGGTCAGGTTTTGGGGTTACTTTATTTCTGCCTTTTCTGATTTAATTTTCATCGTTCACATATATAAAACCCTTCTGTGTTTAAAAAGTCAAAACTGAGTTAACAGGTATACCCAGAAAAGTCATTTCTGTTGTTACCCCTCTACTCCATTCTTACCTTCTCCCACAGTCTTTTGTTTTTCCTGTCAATAAAATGTGTACACATGTATTGTTTCTCTTTTGTCTTTATAGCATACTAAATATACATTATGTTAATTCCATTTTTAAGGAGTTGAAATCAGAATTTGAAATTTGAAAATTGTAGCTCTACATAATTTGAAAAATTTTACGATATTTTGAATTAATTTTTTAAAGTTTAAAGTATCTTTTAGAAGAGCAACTTTATAGTTACCAAAGAGGAAATTAAACTTCCAAGTTTTTATAGAGTAGAACATAGTAATTGAATTGGTTTGTGAAAATTTATACTTCAGATATTTAATTTTAAATTTGTTCAGTAACTTTTTTTTTTTTTTTTAACAAGGAAGAAAGACACCATGCCACATAAGTGGATATGTATAAAATGAATTTAATCTGTTTCAGACTTCTGGGCCATTGGGAAGAAGCAGCACATGATCTTGCCCTTGCTTGTAAACTGGATTATGATGAAGATGCTAGTGCAATGTTGAAAGAAGTTCAGCCAAGGGTATGTTAAAGTACAGAAAGGGAATGTCGTTAACTGTGATGCCCTGTGGCTCTAGTACTCAGCCCCTTGCAATAATTTACCCGTGGAACATACAAAGAAACAGACATTTGGATGTTTTCATCTGTTATCACTGACGTTTATGCTCACCTCTGGAAATGTCATTAGGTTGTCATGCCTTTATTTCTCTTGCTGTATTAAAGCAAACTGTTACTTTGGTTTGCATGCCTGCAATAGGCTTTAACCAGAAAATTAGAAATGGGAAAGGGGGCATCAAGTTTATAGCAAGGAAAAAAATAGAAAACCTGTAAAATGTGACCCAAGGTTGTGTCTGGTCTTTTTATGTTGTAGGTATATGCAGCCCTGTATAAAGCTTGAGGGCCTTGTGGAAGTAGCAAGTTTCATCCTTTTAAAAATTATATTAAATCCAAAAACTAAAATGATTGTGTTTTAGTATATGTGCTGCCGAAGCGAGCACTAAAATGATTGTGTTTTAAAAACAATCGTTAAGATAATTCTTTTAAGGGGTGCCCAGGTGGCTCAGTGGGTTAAACATCAGACTTCAGCTCAGGTCATGCTATCATGGTTCATGGGTTCGAGCCTCTGCTGTAAGCACAGAGCCTGCTTTTATTTTTTAATTTTTATTTATTTTTAATTTTTTTTGAGATACAATCTTAAGCAAGCTCCATGCTCAGCACGGAGCCTGACATGGGGTTGATCCCATGACCCAGGGGATCATGAGCTGAGCCAAAATCAAGAATCCGATGCTCTACCTTCTGAGCCACCCAGGCACCCATAGAACATGAGATTCTTTAATTTTTTTTTTTTAATATTTATTTATTTTTGAGACAGAGTGCTAGCAGGGGAGGAACAGAGGGAGAGGGAGACACAGAATCTGAAGCAGGCTCCAGGCTCTGAGCTGTCAGCCCAATGCCCACCATGGGGCTCGAAATCAGGAACTGTGAGATCATGACCTGAGCTGAAGTCGGATGCTTAACCACTTGCGCCATGTAGGCACCCCAAGATTCTTAAAAAATAATCATAAACAAACGGAAGTAACAATTGAATATGACTTCAAATTTGTTTTCTGAATAAATAATAGATTCCAAATATTTGGCCCAGGCTATGTGCTAGTGCCTGGTACGTATGTTTTTTCTTAATCTTTACAGCATTCTATAAGACTTAAGTATTTCTCTTCTCCTGCCCACCATCCCCTCAGTTTATGGATGCGAAAACTTAAGTATAGTTAGACTGTCGCAAATAACTGGTGTGTATATTCTCAGTCTCTACCTTGCCATGGCAGGCATCAGACAAGAATTGTGCAATTGGAAACCTAATTGTCATCCTTGAGTAGTTACTTGTTTGAAATTTATAACCTTTCTAACTTAGAATCTCATCCTCTTTCCTTTATTTCACAGTGGACTTGTTAAAGTCTGAGTATGTAAGGTATTTTCTTACAAGGTAAATCTGTCATTCAGAACTGTGTGTTGAATTTAACACCTCTCCACAAAGAAAAATGATTCTTTAACAAAACTGGTGGTTGGGTTGCACTTACTCAGCTCTTAAAGGAAACATTTTTCTGTGTGTGTGTGTGTGTTTTCCGTAGGCCCAGAAAATTGCTGAACATCGGAGAAAGTATGAGCGAAAACGTGAAGAACGAGAGATCAAAGAAAGAATAGAAAGGGTTAAGAAGGCTCGGGAAGAACATGAAAGAGCCCAGAGGGTAAAGTTTCCGTAGCTAAACCATCAAAGGGAAATACAGTAGATTAGAGTTTTAGGATATCATTCTGATTCTTGGCTCTTAATGCTGGCTGCAGTTCTGTAGGCTGATACTACTTACAGAGAGTTTTCCTTCCTTCTTATCTAATTTGTAGGAATATCTTTTGTCCTTAAATTCTTAAGTGAGCTTACACATCCCCAGTTTATATTCATGTTGTGTCCTCCTAAAATTAGGGATTTTTTTTTTTTTTTTTTTTTGGTCGGGTAATTAAAACTTGTTAGTATTATTTGATTTCTTGTGGATGCTTTCCCTGATTTGTTATTTTACGATTCCTCCTGTTCCAGTGTGGATTCATAGCTATTTAAAATAGACTATTTTTTATTTTTAGTTACAAAGTCATAAAACTTAGATAAAAGAAAAGTTACTCGTAATTCGTCCACAATATTCCTACTGTTCTTGTTTCTCTTAGTTTTTCGCATTTGGTGTTATCATCTTCCATCTAGTTATTTCCAACAGTTGTGAATAAAAGGATGTAAAGCTATGTTATAATTATGTAACATGACATCCTAATTTTTCATCACTTAATATTAAATATTAATATTTAACAAAATTAATAAAGCTAATTTATAATTGAATTTAATAAAATAACTTAACACAATAATAAATGCTTTTAAAGCATCATGCTTAATTTTTAGGATTATGATTTATAGTCGTCAAAAGTAATTTTTACAATTATACATCCTTGATGAGTTTATGATTGGTTATGAGGAAAATTTGTATTTTCTTTGTTGGAAATTGCAAAAACAAATCAGTAAAATTCTGGTAGTATTAAGTTATGTGGAGAGAGTATGGAAAAGACGAACCTGAGAAACAAAAGCCATTGGCAGTCTTCATCATTTAACCATGTGCTTTCATTTTAGAGTTTTAACGTTAAGAATTTACACTATGCATAAGCATGGACAGACGTCAATCAGTACTGTATTGCTTTCCAGTTGTTAGGTGTTTTTTTTCCTACCCCAAGTAGAGGTAAAACACTAGACAGCTCTACTAAAAGTAATGCTTCTTACAACCTAGCTAGAAAATTTTGGAGAGGCAGATGGGGCGTGTCCTTTAGTCCAGTATTGCCATTTGAAACTTGTCATTCCTCTAACTAGCTGATTTTACAGTTTCTTGCATGGTTTTGCAGACTCGTAACCACTACCACCACCCCCCCCCCCCCCCCCCCCCCCCCCGTTATATAATTTCTTTCTTTCTTTGTATTAAAGGAGGAAGAAGCCAGACGACAATCAGGAGCTCAGTATGGCTCTTTCCCAGGTATTTTTAAAGAAAATTTAAAACTATTAGTATTGTAAATAATCGGAAAATATTCTGAATTGGGGCTCAAATAGGTCTATTATATTTAGTACTATTAGTCCATGGAATACTGAAAAAAGTCTTTAGAATGTTAGCCTCTAGAAAGTTTCATTCTCATTTAAAAATGTTATATTAGGGGAAATAGTATTATATTAATTATTTTCCTCACACTTTGAGCAGTATATATATATATATTTTAAGAGAGTACCCATGCACGCTCATGTGAGGAGAGGTGGGAACGGGAAAGAGAATCGTAAGCAGATTCCACACCCAGCACAGAGCCTGAGGTAAGGCTTGATCTCACAACTTGTGAGATCATGAGCTGAGCCCCGAAATTGAGAGTCAGACACTTAATTGAGCCACCCAGGCACCCACCCCAGAGCAGCTAACATTTATTGAGGTATGAACATTGTACTTTAAGAGATGGAGTAAGAGTTGATTATGATGTATTCTAAATATTTCTAAATTGTCACAATTGGATTTTATTCTGTTAAATGTTGATATTCATGAGATACTAGGTAAAAGCACTGTATGAAATTATTATTCATGAAAAATATTTTGAGTCGAGTGTAAAAATAATACAAGCTCTTTTTTGTAAATGTCAAATGATTAGAAATTACTACAGGGACAAAGTCTTCAGTGATAGCAGAGGCCTAGCCTATATGATACAGGTAGAAGAACAGTTAAAAAGGCACTGCAGGAACAATTTTTGAATACTTCCTAAATGAGACAGTGTGAAATTTAAAAACCAGGAAGAGATTTTTTTTTAAAGTTTGTAATTCTAATGGGGAATCTGCTGCCTTCAGCTGTTTTAATAGTAACCAGCTTTCTCTGAAAGGTTTACAGAGGCAGCTACACACCCCCTAATGGTGTATGCCACTGGCTGCAACTTAAGTTCCATGGTCACAGGCTAGAAAAGATAGCCTTTATTCTGAAAGGTCATGTGCCAAGCAAGTATAAAGAAAGAACATCTATTGGGGATGACTTTCTGTTTGAAGCAAAAGCAAGAAAATGCAGTTCATAGCTTATGTTCTGCTTAAAATGTCAATAATTTTATATCCAGTATCTTTGCTTTAGAGGAAAACCACTAGTGTAGATTAGTACTAGAGAAAATTTTTTTATTATGTGGATTTTATTGTCTAGATTTGACAAGCAGGCCGGTTAACTCTTTTTGTGCTGGACCAGTTATTTTTTTTATGGATAGAAACTACTTTTTCAGTGAGTAGGGGCATCAAGAGAAGCTAGTAGTTTTTTTCCAGCTTCTTAGATTCTCTTACCTGTGATTATTAGCTACTTATGGGAATGTTTTAAATTGTTGAGCCAGGAGGAAATGACTTCGTTCTTTGTGTTTTTTCTTTATGATGGCTTATGTGTAGTCACCCTTGATCTGTAAGATACATTAATGTAAAGTGTATTCCCTTATAGATGTCTGTGTTGGTATAATTGTGATTTCATAATATCTCCAGTAGACATAAAAGGTGTATGTGGTGAACAACTGAGTAGAAGATAATTTGTGTTTATAATCTAAAAATATACTGGGAGATTGAAATCTTTTTGCTAGAGTATTGATTGTCCTCAGTGTAAAGAAGAAATACCAGGAGTGCTTGTTAAAAATGCAGATTTTCACTTTCACAGATTTTGATTGTGTCTATGGTGGAGATAGAAATCCACAGCTTTTTAAAACAAGCATTTCATGTAGTTCTTGAAAGAATGCTCTACAGGAATACAGTTTAAACACAAACAACTAAAGTCTTACAAATTAGAACTTGGAATTGAAACACATAGTATTAAAAAGAGAAAATAAGATGACTGAGATGACTTTATTTGTAATTCCAGGGACTATTAGGTTTCTCTTTTAGCTAAGATTAGTTTCTTTAACAGTTTTAATTACTAGGAAAAAATAAATGCAAAATGTAGTAAAGTTGATTTACAGCCTTATTTTTTAAGAGAAAATTTGAAGGTAAAATTCTCATTTGCATCCAGTTAGAATGTTAAGACTACTTTGTGGTTAGTAGCCCCCTTGTTCTTTTTGCATGCACTTGTGAGTGTGTGTGATTTTCATTGGAAGGAAATAGTGTGCTGTCACTACTTGAGAAAGAATATGGCTGGTGTCTTGCAGCTACTTCATTTATTCTTGCAGGTGGCTTTCCTGGGGGAATGCCTGGTAATTTTCCTGGAGGCATGCCTGGAATGGCAGGGGGAATGCCTGGAATGGCAGGAATGCCTGGGCTCAATGAAATTCTTAGTGACCCAGAGGTTCTCGCAGCCATGCAGGTAAGACTTGGAAGAACAAAGTTGGGCCTTGTATCCCTAAGGTATTTCTTTTATTCATTCTAAGTAGAGACAAAGGTTACTATGTTAGACATGTTTTACTTGTCAGAATTACCAAATAGCTCATTACACAGTTCTACTGTTCATTTTTTGTTTCAGAATGAGTAGCTTAAGTTACTAAAAATAATAGTTTGCAGTATAGTTTGTAATACGGTTCTATAATACTATTAGTCTGTAATAGTTTGATTATATCCAGATGTCTTTACTTATTTATTTATATTTCAAGTTTTTATTTAAATTCTAGTTAGTTAACATATAGTGTTATATGTAATACTGGTTTCATGAGTAGAATTTAGTAGTTCAGTTGTCCTTTTTTTAAAAAAAAAATTTTTTTTTTTTAAATATTTATTTTTGAGACAGAGAAAGACAGCATGAACGAGGGGGGGTCAGAGAGGGAGACACAGAATCCGAAGCATGCTCCAGGCTCTGAGCTGTCAGCACAGAGCCCAACGTGGGGCTCAAACTCATGAACTGCAAGATCATGACCTGAGCAGAAATCGGACGCTTAACCAACTGAACCACCCAGGCACCCTTAGTTTATTTTGAGTGAGAGAGAGAGAGAGAGCGCGCGCGCGCACGAGCAGGAGAGGGACAGAAAGAGAGGGAGAGCACGCAGCTTGACATGGGGCTCGATCCCACAAACTGTGAGAATATGACATGAGCCAAGGTCAAGAATCAGATGCTTAACTGAACCACCCAATCATCCCTAATTTAGTCGTCCTTTTAATCAAAATTGTGTATGCTTTTTTTCATTATCTAAAGTGATATAATTGGTGTTTGACTTAAGTGCACATTAATAATATTTATACTTCGGGGACTTGTCCAAAATTCCATTTAACTTGTCTCTGACAAAATTGTCAAGTTTAAATAAAGAGATAAGATTCAGGATAATAAATGTTAAACCACAGAACTCTTTTAAACACTAAAAAAAAACACATTACCTTTTTTTTTTCAGGATCCAGAAGTTATGGTGGCCTTCCAGGATGTGGCCCAGAACCCAGCAAATATGTCAAAATATCAGAGTAACCCAAAGGTTATGAATCTCATCAGTAAATTGTCAGCCAAATTTGGAGGTCAAGCATAATGCCTTTCTGACAAATAAAGCCCTTGCTGAAGGAAAAGCAACTTCGATCACCTATTGGATGTCGCAATAATACAAACCAGTGTACCTCTGACCTTCTCATGGAGAAAGCTGGGGTGCTGTGAAGATAATCCCTACCCCTCTGCCCCACATACAACTGAGACATTTTTCAGTGGTTTGCCATTAGGGTTTTCATTCAGATGATGTTTTCCTACTAGGAATTACAAACTTTAAACACTTTTTAAACCTTAAAAATATTTAAAAACATATTAAAAGGGTGTGTTAATCCCTACATTTTTCTTTACTAATCATTTCAGTTTTTTTCCTTTGGATTAATTGGGCAAGGAAGATACTTCAGTAT